TTGATGAATGTGTTGATCAATATTGTGGCTGATTATAATTTACATGCTGAACTGCAATGTGTTATGTGTTGATTAATATTTCAGCCAATATTATTAGCTGGTAGTGTTATTAGAGGTCAGTCAAATTCTCAGGAAGCACAGAGGACGAGAAGCAATGAATGTGGTAGCGAGGAGCGCGTGGAATGTGTTGAAACGGTCCAGTCAGGGCGTGGAGTCAGTGACTCAGTTGGGGTACCATCGTCATGAGCAATTGAGAGGGATTCGCGTGAAGGTGATGAACGGGAACCTGGAGTGGGCCCTGACGGTTATGCAAAGGAAGATGACATCGAGTGGGATTGAGAGGATGATAAAGCGGGAGCAAACCCACCACCTCAAAAACTCTGAGAAACGAATCTTGGCTCGCAAGAATCTCGAGCAGAAGCTCCGGTCTCAAGACCTTGCTCGCAAGCTCAAGGCCGTCCTCCTCAAGAAAGTCAGGTACCCAGTTTTAGAACCACAAACTTCCCTTGTTTGCTCTCATTGAAATTTATTGATCAGTGATTGGGTTGCTGGATTATGATTTATGCATAAATTTTACGACAAAACCCATAAGCTATCATAGCTTTATTTGCCCATTATCAATGTGAATTATTGATTAGTAATTGGGTGAAGTGAGTTGCAATGGCTGGGATAGAGATTAGGGCGTTTATTGTAGGTTTACACTACACGATTAAGAATAATGGAAGGTTTTACTGTATTTAAGCCTTTTCCCAGCTTGTAGTTTGTTTTGCAGTTCAAGTGTTTGAGGTTATGCCTTGGAAAGACAACTTTTGCTTGAGTGCTTAGTTTCTTCTTGTAGTTTGTCGACTACCCTTCCAAAGCGAAAAACAACTTTGAAATTTTACTCAACCATGTTTGTTTTGTTTGCTTCACCAATGGTGGATAAACTGAAAGGGAAGAGAAAATTTTATTAAATTCTCCAACTTTCTGTTTGGTTATTACTAGATTTCTAGATTTCAGAATGTAGACAAGGATCTACGGCCCAAACCAAACAAGGGCCATCTCTTCACAAGGTTATAATGATGTCGATGGAGGTTTTTTTGTTCTTATATTTACACTTGTTGCTTACCTAGTTTGTCTTTCAAACTTCCTTCTTATGTGACTATTAACTCGTATGATGTCTTTCTTGTTTTGGATTCTTGAGTATTTTCTTTATGTCCTCTTCTCATGTTCTGAATTTATTTTTTGCAGAGGCCTGTGAGAACATCATTCGAGACTTGAGAGCAGCCTCTCCATAAATGGGGGTAAGGCTAGCCGACATTCACCTCTCCCAGACCCTGCGTAAAGCGGGAGCCTTGTGCACTGGGTACGACCTTTTTTTTTTAGAGGCCTGTGAGAACATCATTCGAGCTGATTTTGGATGGTCTTCTTTTTGTTCTGGAATTTCGTCTTACTGCTTGACAGCTTCCACCACCACTCTAGTTTTACAGACGAGAATAATTTACTCGGATTTTTTTTTAAGACATTTGAGAACTGTTATTCCAAATGCATCAGTTTTTCATCGCTCTTCATCACATCAGCTACAAGTCGCTTGCGAGAATGCTCAATTTGTTAAAAATTGTACATTACTTATGTGACTGATGTGTTAACAGACTGCTAAATGGAAAATAAGAACGGAAACAATGTAAAGAAAAATTCAATGTTTCACGCTTCTGCTTCTCGTCGTCTGCCCCTAATGTATTCCGAGGTCCACCACATCCACAACACCCTGTAAGTTGTCGTAAACATCGACGATATGATAATTCCACTTTCGATACTTATGAGCTACCAAACCCAAGAAACTGGTCTACTAGTTTTTCAATAGAGCTGGCTGGACTGTCTGCTGCACTGTCTGTGAATGCCTCTGCATATACGCATATACGCATATAACATCTTCAGTACCTGATGGTCGTATAAAACATTGGCCTCTACGGTATTTAACAGCAATATAAATAGGAACAAAGAAAATCCTCAAAATTTTGTTTGTGAATTATATACCAGTAAACATGCCAATTATCGCTTTGAATCAACAGGGCCACTTATGATGCCTACCAGTTTCAGCATCGATGGCTTCTTGAATGCCGCTGGGGGGGGGTGTCACGGGCACGGTTTCTGCATTTTCTGTAACAACAGCAGCTCTATCGACAACCTTGACCTGGTAATTAAGAAGAGGAAGAATTAGTTTCTGAATCGAGTATCATTATAAAACTTAAGAATGCTACGAAAACAATTACGGATAGAATAAAGAGTCCGTAACATAGAAGATGGCCAAGGACACTTGCCTTAAGCTGCCTACTGGGAAGATCCTGATAGAGCTCATTCCACCTTGACCAGCCCGTATGTTTCAGAATAGCCTCGACAAGAGGTCTCCGCTCAACGCATCCCCAACAGCCTGGTTAATCAATTCACTAACATCCAAGAGCCTCAAAGCAGCCTTATGCTGTTCTGAACCTGAAAGAAACGATCATATACTTCATTTAGATCGGTAATGGAAAGTCAAGTCAGCACTCGTGCATAAAATAAGTACTGCCTGGTTTTTTTTATCCCAACAAAATAAAACGCCTTGCGTGACCTTTTGCTACATGAGAAAGCTCAGCAGTCCTAGCCTCCAGCCTGGATAAGTAATGTTCCGAGAACAAGATGGTGCCATGGCCATTTGCCTCAAAGTAAATCCCGATTATCATACTCTGCAGCTTTCTCATGCAGGTATTTCACTCCTGTAGGAGTAAAAGTGACATCTAGACCTAATTGTTTGGGATAATCTGACTGTGGATGCTCCATTCGCATAAGCTGTTTGTGCGATCCAAGGCGACATTGATAACGGTTATTCCATTGACATCTACTTCCTTATTATAAATGCTTAGTTGCTCCTTGATGAATAAAGGTCGTACCCAGTGCACAAGGCTCCCGGCTCCATTCACATAAGCTGTTTGTGCGATCCAAGGCGACACTGATAACGGTTATTCCATTGACATCTACTTCCTTATTATAAATGCTTAGTTGCTTTTTGATGAATATAGCAAAGAAAGAAAAAATCTTGTCCCCATCAACAAGTTCAATCTTGTTGTTACTTCTAGATGGTACAATAAAATATACAAGCCGATCAGCGTCATCATCTAAATAGCACACCTGAACAAATCAATCACCAAAATTCATAGATTATCTCCCATCTAGGTCATTAATGCAGTTTATGTATTTTACAGTATCTCTGTGATGCAGACATTTCAAACAAGCTACTTAAAGTAAATGATTCGTCTTATAATCCAAGGACGGCTGACCTTATCCCAACATCCTGTGAACCAAAACTACAAGGAGCAACCTTCTCTTTCTGCACATAACCTGCACCAGCTCCTTCATTCAGTACACCTCCTTCTTTTCCACAGTTCCAAATCTCAATAGCCAAACCATTCAACATCGTTTACAAGATTTCGAGTTTTTCTCCACCAACACCATTTGCCCCATCCACAACCAACTTGTCATCCATGCTGCAGGCATGATTTCCACTAGGAATCAAATCTATCAAGCACCAAACCAACCACACAAAGCGCGTATTCAAGCAAAATATGATGGCATGAAATTCACTGGGAATCAAATCTACTAAGCAGGCAAGCACCTAACCAACCACACAAATAGAAGCCACTCAAACAAAATATGAATTTTTTTTCCTTTTTAGAACATATGAACTCATAAAACAAACCTCTATCTCTAACCAACCTAAACGAACTTGATAGCTGTTTGAAGTAATCACTGTCTGATACTTGCAAACCCTTATTTCTAGCACGAACCATCCAATGCAGCTGCGGTGTAGTTATAATTCCCAAGTCATGGGCAATCGCTCCTATAATTGAACTGATTCCCTGCAATAGAACAAATGCTAACCAAATGGAAGTGAAAAAATATTTTAGAAACTGCATGCTACACAAAGATTATAGAGAAGATACCTGTTAAGCAGCTTCGACCAGAGATATTGGGAGTGACTTGAAATTTTGTAACCGTTGAAAGTTTTAATCTTGGGAGTGACTTTAAATTTTGTGGCTATTTTTGAAAGATGTTTATACGTATTTCAGAGTAATATTCATGCTGCAGACCAATAATTTTGAAAAATAAGCTTCATGTGTATCTTGCAGGTCAGAGAGTTTCGATGGTGGACTTCAACTGCCTCAATCTGCTGTGGCATCTTACTGTGCAGAGCAACCTTCTGGTAAGTGGGAACTCCAAATACCAGAGAACACTGTTCTTAGAAAAACTCATCGTTCACCAATAGGCTTCGTCACCACTGGTTTTGTTAGAGGGAGGTTACTTCACAACCTCCTGCCACTTCACAACGACCATCTTTTCTTTCTATTTTGCTATGTAATGATAATTTGCCATGTGCTAAGTTGCATTTTATTTATATGCAGCAAGAAGCCAGTACCAGAACCATTTTGCGAGGCAGCTCGTCTCACAGAGGAACAATGGGAATCGATGCCAGCTAAGCGAAGACGAAGGAAATATATCATATATGTTCTTGTCAGGAATTTGAGATCGTCAGCTTGTAGACTTGCTCTTGCCACCATTGTTCTGAAGCATCAGGAAGAAGATGACAAATACTGATGTAGTTGGCTTGCATAGCACCACGAAACAACGAAATTTACATTTTTACTAAATCAAATAGTTCTAGGAGCCTTTTGTTTTTCGTGTCTCAGCAACATCTTCAAACACTTAACTGCTTTTTGTTTTCAAAGTAGTGGTAGTTGGCGATATTCGTATGATTGTTGCCACTAATCAATGTAGCAATGAATCTGTTCCCCAGTTCTCTGGAAAAATGACCTACCTGCACAACGATGCCTGTTACTATGAACAACCAAAACCTAATCAACAAAGTTCCACGAAGTTCTACCATTACAGCTATCTCCCCCAAAGCCAAATGCGTGTCATGTAACTACACGGGTAAGATTATATTCAGACAATGATATTACAAAACGGATGAAAAAGAAAGCGCGTTCATCTATAACGAATTTGAATATATCTGTACAGGCAGAATGTAATACAAGTATGGGATTAAAAACGTACGTTCCAATTCTCAGAGTCAATGACAAGCATGTGCATTGAAGTGCAATAAATGTTTTGATACCATAAACAGAAAAATCTATGCCTGCATACTTGCGTATCGATACAATACAGGTTGCCTCAACCTGGAAATACTGAAAGCTCGAAAGATCCCCTTATACAAGTTCAAGTACTGAATAATGTGTCAAAATTCTAGGGGCCTGCTCTACGCAGTCAATTCACTTGCGGAAACCTTTTCAAGCAAGTTCTCAAGCTCGGGGCTTATTTCAATATGATCTTCCTTCAATCTCTGACGCATCTCAGGATCTGATTTTCCTGCAGCTATGTAAGTCTTAAGCAGCACATAATACTCATTGCAACTGAGACAACCTAGACGCTTCAGAATCTGGCAAAATTTCTCAGCACCATCAACATGTTTCTCTTCCTCAAAATACTTAAGAAATGCAATTCTGGTATCTGGGAATGGATGCCATTCCTCATTCTTGCTTTCCGAAACAGCAGCTTCCAGATGGCTAACAGCCAAATCCACCTTACGGGTGTTCAAGGCGTGAACCATAAGCATTTCCCGAGCCTTCATGAAAGACCCTTTAGTCTTCTTACTGGCATTTGTAAAGACCAATTCTGCTTCGTCATGCATGCCCTGACTGAGGTACCCGCGTATAGCAACATTTGCCAACCTTATATCAAAACTAATGCAAATGGACTCCCATTCCTCAAACAAATCTTTCAACCCCTCAATATCGTTTAGCTTACAAAGGGCCTGAAGCATTACAAGATAGCTTATATTATTTGTTGCGGGGAAAGATTTCTTGAGCGTTTTCCATACCCTTTTCACCTCGCCTAGATTAGAAGTGCAGGCATAGAGGCTAATCAAAAAATGGTACGGCGCTCGTTGCTTCAGGGGTTTCATCATTTCTTCCGACTTTTTAAGGGCTTGCTCTGCCTTGTCAAAAAGTTCCGCCTTTATATAGATGGCAGCCAGGTTACTATACGTTGACCAACTGCATTTTTCTTCGTCTTGTGTTTCCATTTCCTCCAGGACTCTTTTTACTCCTTCAAAATCACTCAAGGCCGCGTAGCTCTGCATCCATATATTATAAGTAAACGTGTCCAGAGGGAGGTTTCTCTTCTTCATTTCTTGCACTAAAGGACCCACTTTCTCTGGATTCTGCTTTCTCATATGCAGAGACATGAGATTGTTAAAGACCAAAGTAGAGGAAGCAAAGTTCAACTCGTCCATCGTCTCAAAATGTGCCAATGCCTTTTCTTCCATCAGTTCCTTGCAATAACAGTTCAAAAGTGCACCGTAAGTGAATCGGTCCTTTGAAGATTCTGGTAGGCCGCTGAAGTAATCCTCAGCGGCTCCTATCCCCTTGACTTTGGACATAAGATCCACGCGTATGGCATAGTCAGCTTTCGAGTAATTCATTTTCCTAAACTCCATCCATTCCATTATCTGCACTAACAAACCGAATCAAAAATCGAACATGCTACTACATACAGACTACCTTGAAATCTATGAACAAATAAGCAATGCAACAAAAACTTTGATCAAATTGCACTCGAAACATCTAAGGATCTGTTTGATAACCATTTCGTTTTTATTTTCTCCATATGTCTAAAACAAAAATAAAAACGAAATGGTTATCAAACGGTTAATAAATTTCATTATATAGATTCACATTGTCTGCAATTGAAATTTTCGAGATAAAAAGTAGCAAACAAGAAAGCGGAAGGGTAGAAGTGGAAATGGGCGTAACCTCGAGGGCATGCTGGTACTTGCGGTATTTGCGGAGCTCCTTGATGCATTTCTCGAGCTCAAACTTCCTGACCATTTTGCCCTCCATAACGTACTGGTTTAACGTCTTGGCCACGCTTTCTCCCGTCGCTCCCAAAGCCGATAACCTCCGATACAGCCTATTGGGATTTCCAGGCTGACCCGTTTTCGCGGCCGTCGCAGCCTCAACTGCCGTACAAAGCTTCCTCACCAGCCACGTTCCGGTGGATATCGAACGGTTCAGATTCATTTTCGTCGGAGTCGATTTTTATGTCTCTCAAAGCCAAAAGGGGTTTTGTTAGGGTTTAACGTTGATATGCTTTCCCATTCGAATGGGAATCGCGGATTCCGAACAGTGGGTTTTAAATCACCGTCTATTACTAATTAAACTGGGCTGAATAATGGGTTGAGGCCAGGAACCGGCCCAATTGATAATTTATTTATTTTTTTTGTGTCGAACTTGACATTTGTTTGTCCAAACGATCGGTTTTTATCATGTAGTCGTTATGTTACCATTATTTAGTTAACAAAGATTATTATGTCGTCGGTATTTGATTTCAATCAATTAAGCAACCAAAATGTCAAAAACGGATCATTTTTTAGCCACTGCCCCTTTTTTGTGGGACAATTTGAAATAAATTGAATTATACTGAAGTTCATGTAGTTTACTCATATTTTCACTTTTGTTCTTGTATATTCTTTTCTTGAATATTCACTTTTGTATTTAATCGTGTTGTCACGTTCAATCTAGTCCATCAAGTAAGAAAATGCAACAAAGGTTCTATTTGGGCGAAAGTGCAAGAAAAAAACTATGTGATCAAAATTGAAAATTTAAATAAACTAGGAGGACTGTAAGTGCAATTTGGCCTTTCAAATAAGGTCCATGCTTCCGAGGATACAGAGTTTTAGGTGAGATTCCACAAAAAAATGAAGGCTTCGGCTGTTGTTGGCCCTCCGACCACCATTTTCTCATGCTCATCTCCGCCACCACAGTTTCAATCCCAACCCAAATCTCAGCTGCTCCGAAACCAACGCTTTCGGGTCTCATCCTCTTTGGTAAGGAGATTTATCCATCAGCGCAATCCACTGCTCGCAGTTGTGGAAGTTAATATTAAAAGTAGCTGAATCCTAATCCACAATTTTTTTTTTTTTTTTTTTCAGATAAAAGAGCCACAATCCCAATTCCGGGAGAAGCAGCAGAAGCTTGGAGTGATGGACGAATTGTTCCTCAAGGTGTTTAGAAGCAAAATGGCTGCGGAAGTTGGATGGGATTCCGAAAAGCCCGATACGACGGACTCATTGATGTGGCGAATCGGCTAATGCTCAAAAGTCCAACCAATTCTCACGCTAAAGAAGCTGCGGTACTCACTACTTTCTTTCTCTCATTCTCTATACTTGCGTAAGTGTTATCCCCAAATTAACGAAGAACGTTGCTCTATTCCTTACCTTACCTGCAAATCACAAACTGAAACATATAGTGACGGTACGTGAAGTAACTTGTTAAATGAGAAAAAGGAAAACTTATTAATGCGTGTCAAATAGTGACTTGTCTATTTTGAGGCAGGTAATATCAATACTTAGTATGGAGAAATTTTTGAGTTTGATGTTGCCACTGTCACATGTAGTTATTAATCCGTGTGCTATATTAGTCGACTAACTTAACTGAAACTTATAATAGAGGAATTATACACAAATGTCAAATTGTGACTTGTAATACCATATAAATAGAGGCATTTTTTATAATGATGCTGACACTGTTAGATTTAGCTATTAACCCACGTGTTATACTATGGGGGGCTGACATAGTTGATATGTTGCGAGGTGTGACCCTCACACCGACAAATTATTCGCTTAGATGTAAGGAGCCAAGTATTTTTGTCAAATGACTGGATGATTCCCATAAGCGAGTGTTATGCTGAAATGGCAGGTAAGAATATTGAGATCCTTGTTCCCGCCGTTACTGTTAGACCTTTATAAGTTGCTGGTAGCACCCTTACAAGGAGGAAAAGTAGCTGCCATCATGGTTGCAAGGGTGACTGCAATTACTTGTCAATGGCTTATGGGTCCTTGCACAGTAAACTCAGTCGACTTACCAGACGGGACTTCATGGAACAGTGGGGTGAGTGAGTTCGCTGTCTTATTCTTTCATTATTCCCTTCTGAGGTCGGATAATGGTTGTCGTAATGGATGGGAGGCTTCGCCGTTGATGCAGGTGTTTGTAGAGAAATGCAAGTACTTGGAAGAAAGCAAATGCGTCGGTATATGTCTGAATACTTGTAAGCTTCCAACTCAGGTCAGTAACTCTTTCGAATTAACTCGAGTGTCGAAGTAGATGTTAACAGCCTGTTCAGTACTGTTTCTACAAAACACGAAGTATTCTTTGTCGTAGAAACCGTTTAGTAGTAATTGATCGTTTAGAAATCCATAAAAACGGTCTACAGGCTTTCATCAAAGATTATATGGGCGTTCCGTTAGTGATGGAGCCGAACTTCGTCGATTACAGCTGCCAGGTAAAACCCCAAGAACTCTACAGCTCTACTCATTTCCACACATTGACTGTCCTACAATTGACCCAACTGAACTTGAATACGGCAGTTTAAATTCGGTGTCCTCCCCCCACTTCCTGAAGATGATGCCACTCTCAAAGAACCCTGCTTAGAAATCTGCCCTAACGCCACTCGACGGAGAGAAATCGCCAGAAATATTAACGTCGAGAAATGTCCCAAGGCATGAATGACTGCAGCATTCGCTTTGCTACCGGTGGCATCACAATACTAGATTCGAAAGGAACGGTCATCGTCATAACCAACTGTTTGTGCAGGTCTTTTTGTATGTTCAAAAGTCTGCTGTAAATAACAACGATCGAAACAGGTACTGCAACTCCTGTATAACATCCAACAGGGACTACAAATTCTGTAAAGCCTTCAAATGAAGTCAGAGTTCAGCGCTCACTCTCAATGTAGTGGCAAGGAAACAACCAAAGAAATTGTCATAAGCGAGCGTTTACTGGGTAGAGAGAGGTGAATGAACGAGAATGCGTTTTTCTGTTCGCCCGACATAAATTTACAATGTTATCAGACCTAAATTGTGACATAAGGGTTGTACAGAGAAATGAACAATATGTATTCTGCATCTTCCTGTACTCAACAATCTTTTTTTGAAAAAAATAAAAGGAACCTTGGGCACACATCGAATACCGTACGATCTGCAACAGCATGAAAACGAAGAGGAGGCTTGACTAATCTGACAGAGAGTTTAACTGAAGCCATTTAATTTGAAATCAAGATTTGGCAAGCAAAAGAAGCAGAGGTTTGCTGCATGGTATCATACAAAAAGTTTCACAAGCATAAAAGATCATCCACTTTCTGCAGCAAGTCAATCAGTTTCCTAAATTATCACCTTTTTCAACTTAAATACACAATGGAGAAAGAAATTAACCAAACTGATTCATCTTTCTAGCAGTAGGGGGGAATAACAAGTACAAGCATACACAAATAGGAAGCCGAAAATAAAACTTAACTTACGAAGGTCAACATAATACAGGCATATCAATAACTGTAAATAAAAGGCACTCGATCTATGACAGAAACAGAAGATTACATTTACGTGAGAGTGGTGTTGTTCAATTGTATGATTAACAGCTATAACTGTTGGATTGATCACTTCAGTTGCGTATTTCTGTATAGCATGGGTTCGCACACGTTTTTGCCTATCATTTTAAAGCAGGAAACCCACGATGGCTGTTGAGCACCAGGCTGTTGTACCAGCTGAGAATATATGCTCATCAACCCTCTGCACTGCCAGTGCTACCTGGTACGCACCCAAAGATTCATGAAAATGAGAACTTCATACGTTGTAAAATGTAAAAGTTCGAGCATGCTTGTTTCTCGAACAAGCAACCAGATTGAAAAGATAGCATTACTATATCATACGTAGTTTACAAGTATTATAATTCTTATGCCAATTTCAGAAATAACTGTTTTTCCTAGTTAGATTGCATTTCAACAATTAATTAACTTATTCGTTTTCTTTTGAAATGTGTAAAATAATATTATCACAATATCATATACGCTTTACTTGTATATCGGCGAACCTAATACCACCAACTGCAATGCAAACACTCTTGCAGCAATGTATTAACTATTAAATAAATTAGAGTAAAACCATTTACATAAACGTCTGTTTTTCTTTCTAGGCAGCATTTCATAGAATGTTTCTTCCAAAATTTCTGTTTTTTAATCACAGCTTATCACATGATGGATAACTACAACAATCTATCACTTCATCTCGAATCCATGCTCAAGTAGCTATAACACAACATTTTCCTCCCTGACTCTTAGATTAATTTTAAAACGAACCGGCAAGAAAGTTAAAATAAAAAAAGTAAAAGATGGATATATCTGTTGAGTACTACCACAAAACGGAATTTGTGTATGCTTTTCGCTCACCTTTCCCACCATAAACCTACAAAATACAAACCAATTGGGCACTAAATTTCTTTAAATTTACTTACAGAAACTGATAATCCAGGCACACAATTCACTATGTCTTGAAATAAGGCATACACTAGCCAAGAATAGGTAACTGAACGTACCTGACCAAAATCACAAACTCGGTAGAATACATGATAGTCGACCAGGTTTCACAAAGAGTCGTGTGTCATCGGGATGATTGTAATGAAATGGCCTCGGAATCAGAGTCAAGCTCCCACCAGTTGCAAGCATCGTCCTTCCCCAAATTGTGATTCGCCTCACCAACAAAACCTTCGATATCGTCATCCTCGCTTTCACCATAAACCTCATCATTCCATTTATGCAAACTTTGATCCCCATCTGACTTGTCTGTCCACTCCAATCTCTCGCTTTCACCATAAACCTCATCATTCCATTTATGCAAACTTTGATCCCCATCTGGCTTGTACGTCCACTCCAATCTCTTCAACACATCACGGTCTTTCCATTTCCCCACAACTGACACTGCCTCCTTTTCAGCCTTCCCAATCAAAATTTCATTCCAAGAAAAACCAGAATCCGCAGCCCTCTTCAGAGCCCCATCGCCAAAATCCCCCACAACAACCGTCTTCAGACATCTCAACTTTGCCTCCATCACAACATCCACAAAATGCGAATCATCCGACACAAGCATCAAACAGTCAACTCTCCTGTGATCCATCATGTCCACAATGTGATTTCTCAATGCGACTTTCACCCCCTGTGGCTTATCCAACACACTCCGAATCCAAAACCCTGCCTGCTCCACCTCATCCGCTAAACCACGCCCCACCTTGGTTGTCAAAACATCCCTTGCAGCTTTCTTATACTTCTCCATCTTCATGGAATACTTACCCACCAACTTCACTCTCCTACTCCCTCTAGCAGACTCAATCTGATTCAACCTCTTCACATGTTCCGTCTCATGAATCTGCTTAAAATGATTCATAAGCTTCTCATTGGTATAAAATCTTCTCCCACAAACCGGACATATATTCGACTCACCATCCCTAATCACAACCCTATTCCTCTCTTTCCTTTCCCAAATAACTTGTGGAACATAGTTCAACGCATTTCGATTCGCATACGCTATCATATGCCGGACAATCCCGAAAGATGAAGCCGCAGTCTTGAGCTTGACGGCGGCTTTGTACGGTGAGACTGATTTGGGTGGTCTGGTATCCAAATCCCAGAAAATCGCAACACTGTTTTCAGAAATTTTCTTTGGTGCCAAACACGAGGAAGGATTCGAAGAATAGAAACCCGTTGTAGATTGAAAATGACAATATCTATTGAACTGGGTAAAAGGGATTAGGGTTTCTGGCCTGCTGGATTGAACTGTACAGAGAATGTGGCGAAATTTAAGATGTGTAAGCATTGCAGAGTTTCAGAGGTTTGATGGTCTGTTTGATTTTTCAATGAATTGCCAAATGAATCAGGAATTCAAGAAACAGTAATTAGGAAAATAGATGGAATAGAAAACCTTGTGACCTTGAGAAGGAAACGAACACCGCAGCAAACTCGTCGTCACGGCGGCGCTTCAGGGCCGCGATTGGGCGGACTCGGACCCGGGTATGGGTACTAGGGTGGCAGGAACTAGGAAAGTTGGGATTTGGAGTTGGGGGTGGCCTTAAGTAACGAAAGGGATGGGATGTAAAACCAAGCCGAATACGAAATTACATGTTTTGCCCTTTAGAAGGAGTGATAGCATGCCCCTGCCCAAATGCCTCTACACCCTCCTCCTTTCCCACCATTTCTCCGCTGCAACCGCCGCCGCCGCCTCCGCCGCCGCAAGGCTCCCGAAGCTCCCCAACGTCCCCCCAAGGTACAAGTCCGAAACCATCAGCCAAGCTCAGCAGGTCCTCACCGACTACCTCCACGCCACCCGCTGCTTGTCCTTCCCCTCCGCCGAGCACATCAGCAGAAACTCCCTCTTCTCCCTAGCCAATCTCATCAAGCAGATCAAATTTTCGGCCCCGAATTTCTCCAACCGCTTCGAGAGGTTCCTCAGGTACCACCCCATCAACGAATTTGAGTTTTTCTTTGAAAGCATTGGCATACATTACAGTCAAGTTTGTGACTTTTTGCCTCCCGACAAGTACTTTTTCTCTGAGGATCCGACCCTTTTGGATGTTGCTTCGCTACTTTCCGGGTTTGGGTTTCCTTGGAATATGTTAGGGAAGTTGTATGAGGAGGAGATTTCGATTTTTAGTGAGAGTTCAGAGGTGTTGAAAGCTAGGCTTACTAGGTTGAAGAAATGTGGGTTCAGCAACCATTCTGTTGTGGGTATGTGCTTGGCTTTCCCTCATTTGCTGCTGCTGGAGGGCGAGCCGGGCGGTGATACTGCGGATTTGCTCGTTGATTTGAAAAGGGTTCTTGTGGATTTTAATTTGGAAAATTGTGTTGAGGGAAATGTGGATGCTTGGTATGGTGTTTGTAAGAAAGTTAGTGTGTTTTACGATTTGGGTTGCAAGAAAGGGAAGGTAGGGGAATTGATGGGGAGGAAGAAAGACATTTTTCTTGAATGCCCGGAAGAGGTTTTGTTGCAGAAATCAAACTACTTTCATAAATTTGGTGTTAGGATGGAACATGTCGGGATGCTGCTTCTTCAAAGTCCGGAGGTTTTAAACCTTGACCTGGAAACGCCGGAGATATCAGCATTGGGGTTGCTGAAACATTTTGGATTGAACGCGAAAGAATTGGAGGCGGTGAGTGAAAAGTACCCTCATGTGATGGGAAAGAATAGAATGGCTAATTTACCACATTTGGTAAGGGCTCTGGATCTTCATCAATGGTTCTTCACTAAGATTAAGAATGAACATAACTTATTAGCTAATTACGTAATCAGTGACTTTGATGAAGGCATTGCGAAAGAATTTAGTGAAGGATTGGAGAGGATCCAATCTACGACGACTCCCATTCATACCATGGGAAAACTGGATTTCATGCATAGAATTGGATTTGGAGAGAACCCTTTGACGCTAATGTGCTTATCCCAGTTGCATGGCAGAAGCAGCGAGTTACAAAAGCGGTTTGATATCCTTCTTTCGACGGGCATTGAATTCTCACGGCTTTGTTTAATGATAAGAATGAAACCGAAGATCTTGAATCAGAGTCCAGAATTTCTAGAAGCGAAAGTAAGCTTTCTTAGTGAGGAAATGAAATCTTCTTTGGAGTACCTCAATATTTTTCCATCATTTCTTTGTTTCAACTTGGAGAACCGGATCATGCCCAGATATAGATTTTATGTGTGGCTCAAAGAGAAGAAGGGTTTGCATTTTGAAAGCTACTCTATTGCCACCATGATTGCTACCAGTGAGAAGACATTTGTAGCGCGGGTTTCTGGAATTCATCCAGCTGCTCCGAAACACTGGTTCGAGCGTTTCTCGTACAGAAAATATTTAGGTACTTGGAGACATCTGTGACATTGACTTGAGTTTGTGGTTAGAGAAAACCAGCAAGTTAATAGATGATTTTTAAAGGTAAAATGGTTCCACTTTAACCTCAATTTTCAATTTTCCCAGACTTCCTAGTTCAGTAGTTCCTATTCTATGCACTCGATGGTTGCCTCTTTTGTTTTATTTTTCTTTTTAATTTTGTATTTAATTAAGATTGTGAAACGCCAAGTGGTCGGTCTAGTGAGAAGCGAGTAAAGCTTTGAACCCCAACCCATGGAAAATGGTAACACAAATATGCTATTTCTGAATACACAGAAAACAGAACCACAAAACAAAAACTGCACTGCAGTTCTCGCATGAGGAAAAATACCACAAGGTCGTATTACTGAGTATCATTGGAGGGCTCATGACTGGGCCACGATTCTAGAGATTGTTATCCCATCAGTCATCACGCACGATCATTTCTTATCGAGCACTGATGGGCTTATTCCTTCATCAAGATTAGGCCTTGCTAGGTGCGAGGAAAGGATTTGAGCTTTGCTAAGCCATCGAGGCCAATAACTATACTGAGTTAAGTGGCCCATGGGTTGGATGAAGTGTACCAAAACTCGCAAGTCCAGCAAAAATGCCTCCTCTACCAAGCGCGAGAAATTTTCTATTGTGTCTAGAATACGGTGGAATACCACATGTTATTATATAAATGAAGGGAATTTTTATTTTTTAAGTTGTTAATATTTTGAGGGATGTGACCTATGTTAGGTCCATAAGAGAGACCACAACTTTTAGTGTTTTGTGATTCACCTTTGAATAATAAGTAGGTGTCTCAGTCCAAGTGTGGTTGATCATCCGAAAAGACGATGGAATGCAAATGGATGGATGGTAGAGGGCTGCCTATGCCCAAAAGCGATGATTCACTTGTCCCCTTGTCCATAGGGACCTCGTGGCATACAAACGAAACGACTCCTGCTAAATAACCTCCCATTTCTCTCTTTTTATAACCTTATTAAATGTGAAAAGTACACGCTAAAAACGATGAATTTTGTTAAATTAGATGTTGGATTAGCCAACGACGGAGGTTGAATCCACGCTTTCATGCAATGGCTCAACACTTTTCTACTGGTAAATGGCCACTTGCAGAAATTTGTTGTTAAATAAGTGTATTATTTGCGTATTATGAGCTAATTTACTAAAAAGGAAAAAGTGTAAGTCTAAGGGTTTTTCAAGAATAGTTGGCCCTTTTTGCAAATACTGCAAAGTTGGATGAAATAGCAAGAAGTAGAAACACAAAGAGAAAATTACACGACGAAAGGGTTTTTGGGGGTTCAGTCCTTCCCTCTCTCTCCGTCTCCAATCTCCGCAGACACCACAAGTGCGCAACCTCCTTCTCCCTGTTGCCCTTCTCTTACCAGGTATCCCTAACCCTAACTTCTACCCCTTAATATATAAATATACATACATATATACATATACATACATACTTGTGTCCGTAAATCGATATAGCTCAACTAAATACATATCAGAAAACTCAAATAATTCTCTTTTTTTTTGCCTTTAATTTTGTGTTTTCGACTGTGTAATCTCTGAGAAGTTATGAAAACAGAAGAAATAAATTAAATTGTTTGCTAAAGTTTTGAACTTGTTGTTGGGAAGGAAATGTATTGCATGAATTAAATTGTTTCTTCTTTTTTTGTTTGTTTGTTTGTTTTCTTGTTATCAGATTTGAAGTTTTTGACATTGTTTGGTCCTCCTTAGGGCAAAAAGGACCTGTGTTACTGTTATTGTGTGACTGTATGAAGCCAGCTGCAAAATCCGCCATTTTTGTTCAGTTTTTCGATTTGAAAAACCTTTTATTCAACTAATAGATAAGGGTTTGGTGTGATTATTAGGAATTTGTTTAAAATTCAAACTACGACAGTGATTTTGTTGAATTTAGAGTTGTTATGTTCGGGATTTCGTTGCAATTTGATATGGAGGCTGTAATTATCGTGAATATGTATATGCAATTTTTTTTTTTATATTTTGGTTTAGCGCATTATATATTTTATCTTTAAGTGGCTGCTGCAAATTTTCGATTTTAATTTGAAAATTTTCAAAGAAATACAAGGATTGTTGCCAAAATTTGACAAACTTTTTTGCTTGGGAAGCACCAAAGTTTAGTCTAAGTTTCACTGCAGCCAAAATTGAAATCCCGGTTTTGCCAGTGCACATGGATTATTTGTTATTTACCTCAGTGTGAAGTATTTATGTAACTTGGATGTGTAGTTACAAGGAGAAACAGATAATAGGGGTTAAATGTAGTATTTGGGAAATTAGAGATGAGTTTAACTGAGGATAGCTTGAAGGAATTGGATAGTGATACTAGAATGAAAACTACGGCAATAAGCAGTTAAGCACGTGTTCAAGTTGGGAAGGCCTGGTGTTAAACTATATTGACATGAGTTTTGCATAGGATTTGAACAGCCAATTCGTATAAGTTTGACCATGTCGTTTTACTTCAGTTGAGCTGAATTCATAATACAAGGCCTAAGTAGTAGTTTCTTATAGGGTAGGGCTATCAAGGTTAACTTCCGGATTTTGGTCTAGAGTGTTCTGCTAAAATGACCATTGCATTATTGTTTTTATTAAATTTTTCATTTCTGTTTATTCATTGTAGATGGCTAGATGGGATGAGATTCTGTCCCTTCCTGTACAGAGTCCACCTGCACTGGAGTTTTCTTCTTCGGATCTTGTGTGGTCAAAGGTGGAAGGTTGGCGGGACAAGAAAGATCGAGTTGCTCTAATTCCATTTCCTCGAGTTGACGATTTTCTGAGGGGTGAATCCTCTAGTAAAGAATGTCCAACAAAATTTCATGTTGAAGCGAGGCGGCGGCGGCAGCCAAAGACGCCTTACAAACCAAAGGTTGATGGTATTCTTGAATATATTCTGTAAGTTCCGATTTCTCCCCCCGTGTCCATTTTAGCCAGCATTCCTGTATTCTATCAGCCTAAACTATCTTTTTTCAAATGTGTAGATATTGGTGTTCCTTTGGTCCTGATGACCATAGGAAGGGTGGGCTTGTACGACCCAGCAGGGTTAATATCCCAAAGAAGAAAAATGCTGGTCGACCGAACACCAAGAGAGGTTGTACCTGTCACTTTATTGTGAAACGATTAATTGCTGAACCCTCAGTGGCGCTTATTATATATAATCAGGATAAGCATGTAGATAGGAAAGGAGAGCCCTGCCATGGCCCCCAAGATAAGATGGCTGCTGGAACACGTGCTATGTTTGCCCCTTATATCTCTGAGGATCTACGTCTTCGTGTGCAATCTTTGTTATACGTGGGGGTCTCTGTGGAGACTATAATGCAGAGACACAATGAATCAGTAGAGAAACAGGGTGGTCCATCTAATCGTGATGACCTTTTAACCCATAGGTATGTTCGGAGGCAGGAGAGGGTCATTCGACGTTCTGTATATGAATTGGATGCCGATGATGTGGTTAGCATTAGCTTGTGGGTAGAAAACCATCAGAGTCATGTTTTCTTCTATGAGGATTTCTCTGATGTGGACCCTTTCACTTTGGGCATTCAAACAGAGTGGCAGTTGCAACAGATGATTCGCTTCGGCAATCGCAGCCTTATAGCTTCTGATTCAAGGTTCGGAACAACCAAATTGAAGGTCTGTTTAGTATGTTTAACCTTTTATTATTAACTACAATTGTTAATAATAATGAGAAACTGAATGTGTTCACGTTGCAACGTTATTTAGTATCCCGTGCATAGTCTCCTTGTATTTAATGAAGACAACAAGGCCATTCCGGTAGCGTGGATAGTGGCTCCAAAGTTTGAAAGTTCCAATGCCCATAAATGGATGAGAGCTCTTTACAATAGAGTTCAAACGAAAGATCCTGCATGGAAGTTAGCTGGTTTCATAGTGGATGATCCTCTAGCTGATGTGCTCACCATCAGGTTGGTTGCTCAGTTCTCGTCCAAACTTCATACTGACAATTTTAGTCACTAATGTTTTGTTTGGTAGCAAACAGTCCGTAGGTTATTTCCTACAGAAGTGGCAATGTGAAATAACTACATGATTACTGATTAACCTATTGCAATATATTCAATTTCAGTTGTTTACTTATAAATAAAATATCCAATTGTATTTTTATTATGCTAAGCGGGTGGGTTGCTCTCCTTCAAATTAATGATTCCTCTTGATCGGGCCAGACTATCTAGTTTATGCATCAGTATTGAGTGATTTGTTGTGCATGGTTTTTACAACTTGTAATTTAATTCAACTGAGTCTTGTGAATGCCAACAAATGTTTAAAATCAAAGCTGAAGGCCGGAAAATAAATCATTCTTTTTCTTTGTTTTGATATCCAATTTTATGCTATGCCTTTTTGGGGTTTGGGCCAGTGACATTACAGTCAACTATCTGACATGGAGCAAGGCAGTCTGACATGATTCATAATAGTATTTCTTCTTCATGTTATTAATGGATTAATACATGCATGAATTGATAAGTAAATATTGTTTTTTCATTATACTCAGGGATGTATTCCAGTGTTCAGTGTTGATAAGCTTTTGGCGGGTCCGTCATGCATGGCATAAAAACTTAGTAAAGAAATGTGTGGACAATGAGATGCGAGCTACAATATCAAGAAGGCTTCATCAGGCAATGGATAACATCTGTGAACAACGAGGAACTGAGCGTTTGTTTGAGGACTTAATAGAAGATTTTCTTGATGAATCAGATTTTATGGATTACTTTAAGGCAACCTGGTATCCTAGAACTGGTAAGTCACTATCATATTTAGTACAGGTATATTTTGCCTTATGATACGAAGTAACAAGTGTCCTTTAATTGGTTCTTATCATTACTAATCTACATCTATGCCTATGTATGTATCTCTTAAGACCTAACCTGCCAATTGTTATGCATAAGATTGATTTGATTGTGTGTTGCATACATACAGGTCAACATATGCACGCATACAATATGCTCATAAATTCTACAATATAAGTGGATAAATTTGTGGATGTTCAC